TGTGACAATAAGCAAAGGTCATTATAGAGTTACGACGTACGGGAATGAGTTATCAGCTGTCTAATCGTAGACAACACAATGTCGAGCCTTAAACTGTAAGCCTGTATTGGTATTGTTTCTTTTATTTGGCTGTCGAACATTATTTATGGTTTGAAATATGATTTTATGTAAAATAATTGATATGAAAAAGCCGTCTCTTAAGTTATGACCCCATTTCACCACACGCAAGTGGCAGAAATGACAATGATCAGCTGACGCATTTTTCTTGGCCTAAGTCAGAGCGCGCGGCCCGACGCACCACCACCGCACCACAAAGTATGAGCAGAAGCCACGCCCAAAGCCAGGGCCCCGGTAACGTGAGGTAGCCGAGTCGGGGCAGCGTGCGCTGAACCAAGCCGGGGCCGCAGCTTTGGGCGCGGTCTACCGCATCCCCGCGGGCAGCCCCGGGCTATCACATGACACCGGGAGGACGCGCGGCCCCGGCTTGGGTCAGCGCACGCTGCCCCGGCTCGGCTACCTCACGTTACCGGGGCCCTGGCTTTGGGCGCGGTCTACCGCACCACCTAACAGGCGTGTTCGAAACCGCAGGAGATGATGATGAACGGGTTTATCGAAACTTGATTGGATGAGCATATCGGTAATAGCGATTTCAGTGTGTGCATTTATTGTTCATAGTGGTGTGAAATGTGGTTGGGGTACGACCGACAACCCGTCGGGGCGAATTTCGCACTGGGGTACTCAAAATTTGAAGAATTTAAGACGTTTCCATGAGTTTTGATGGTATGGATAAGTTCTAAAAATCCGGTTCTCCTTATCTGGGCCATTAACTCCATACGGTCCAGGAAAGCTGGCACACTACCTTTAAGTAACTTGTATATCGCTGCTCTAATAGCTAGATTGTCTATTTCTAATCACTTTTGAAAGATCGATTTATCTCTCAATAAGTATTTTATATCCTCTTTGTATATTGGTTTCCAAATTAGGTGGAAGTTTTCTATTTACGTTTCATACAATGCATAGCTATGCGTATTGATGCATCCGTCCGATGGCTATGGCCTTGCACATTCGAATGATATTGTGTGCCAGATTTCATGGCAATTTTCTATTTGTAATTCGAGTCTTCCTATCTTTGTCATTGTATCATTTTGCTCAGGCTCACCATGCTGGTAAATAATTGCTCTCGACTAGCACTGGTATAAACTCCATAGTTAGGCACGTGATAAAGTCTCCTCGGGCTGGATTTGAACCCGCCTCTCTCCGTTCCAGCATGGGCATGGTGCAGACGCTGCGCATCATCCACAAAGAGAACGGCGTGGTGCGCGGCCTCTACCGGGGCATGTCCATCAACTATCTACGAGCGATCCCCATGGTCGCCGTATCTTTCAGTACGTACGAACTGATGAAGCAGACCCTCCACCTCGACACGGGCATCAAGGTCAAGGTCGGCTAGTGTGACGTCAGTGGCGTCCGGACCAATGGCGAGGCTCGTTTAAGTGTCGTCATCGGAGGCAGAGGTCGCGGGGTGGGAGCGACTGTACGAGCTAGATCACGGGCCAGTGGAACAACAGGGGTCAAACGGGCTGGGTAAGAGTGAGCCGGTGAGATGGATCATTGCACGGACCTCTCGGTTTTCCCGTCATTGACCTCTTGTCCAGGAGGTGTAGCTGCTATTCCCTGTCGGTTTACCAAGGTGCTGAACGCCCGGCACTGTTGGGGCGGGGAGGGGATCGGTTGTGCGGGACGCTTCCATTGGCGTGAATACTCAAATATTATGGAACTGGGGACAGCACTGGGGGCAGGGGAAGAGTTTGAAATACTTTCGGGATAAATGACGCAATGGCGGCATTCTTGTAAAAATCAAAATGACAAAAAGAAACTAATCTTTAAATAATAGTTTGTCAATTACTGTGTCACTATTGACGGAGGCCGAAAAGTATACCGGGAATTTTGAATGTTTTTTTTTAGGTACGTTACTCCAGCACGAGTCGTAGTACATTTATTCTTGAACCTTGTGTCCAGGGCATGAGCTAAGATTGTGCCTCCGCCAGCGGGGGATGGCCCTCACCTACCCCGCGTGCCAGTGTTATTTATTACCGGGAGCGAGTGGGCGAGACAGATCAAACGCGCACAGTGTACCCACGCCTGTGCCGCTCGCACATTGTTACACAATTACACTGTTGTACTTGTTATATGGATGCTGCGAATGTTTTTAGTGAGATTGTTGACTCTTTATGGTGCGCACTGGTAGGATGTGTCTGTTTTATTGTTTGACTACTCGCGTCAGACCATTTTGTTCTGAAGTGTTCGAACCGTTTTCTACTAAATGCGTCACTTTGATTGAGATGTTTGAAAAAACGCAAACATGTCTTGTACTGCTGTAAATGACAAGGCGCAGACATTGCCAAGCATCAGCATAAAGATCAGTAAATAAAGGGCAGTCTATGAAAAATGTCACGCTGTGTCACCTTTCATGCACTACAGCCACTTAAAACGCCTCTTGACATATACCTTTAGGCTAGTATTTCTGAGTTGTTTGCTCTGTTTTATCGTTCCGTTTTCGCCTGGGTGGTACATCCGCCCGATTTTCCAGATTCCTTCCCTCAAGACTCGTCCACGTTTGCCGCCTGTTTGTTCGACAGTGCGTTCACCTTTTGTCTCCATATAACGCTGATCAGGAGCTCAGGGCGGGCTGCTAAGTATCGGGCTGCGACGCCTGGCACGTCTGTGCTTTAGCTCACTAGGGCTTCCCCTTATCTCGTCGAAATGCGCGCATCTGTGTCCGCACTACGTTTTGATGACACCATAGCTCTGCTTTGTCTACTTGTCTGTCTAGCCGAGCCGTGACTTTGTGTGACGGTCACAGAGTTATCTCTGTCCGTTTGTCTGTCTGTCTGTCTGTCTGTCTGTCTGTCTGCGTTTGATTGTGTGTGTCCACCTGTGCCAGTTAGTTGTTGCTCACTCTGATCTTACCCGCCTCCCCTGTACACACAATGCAAATACTTCTTAATAGGACTGACCGTATGTTTGATACGCAAATGGCGCCAGTTTCGCAATCATTGGCCGTACTGAACTTTTATTTCGTCGCCCTGTGTTCTTGACAATGCAATTAGATGCAAAGGACATTTTTATATAGCCAGTTTTATTTTGTAGTCGAGCATCACGGTACGCTGTTGATTGTTTTTACTGCGCATTTGTAGCTTTTTTTGTCGCTACCGAATTTAACCACTTGTTCGTTTTCAAAAATGTTGTTTAATCATTGGTTGCGTATCGGTATAGCACATCTTTGATTTATATTATGTTTTGATTGGTGTTTTCCTTTGTTGTTGCTGTATTTTTGCTTAGTTTACTAATTATTTTAACCTTACAAAGACGCTGGATTTCCACCACCATGTGTGTGATAGCACTGCTCTGGCCTCTGTGCTGTTTGGAAAGCACTACGCATATGTCTGGTGCTCGATTCAGGAGACTGGCAATGCACGCAGGCTGGCAAAAAGACGCAGATATAATTGTGCTCTGTCGTTATATTCACCATGACTGGGTTACGAGTCAGTCCCATCGTTACTTTCGATTGTATGGATTGTATGTGTGTGTGTTAGTGATGCAGCGTGAACGAATGTTTATACAGTCGACGATGAGTATATGTACGGCAGCCTCGTGCTGTCATTGGTTGTGGTCTTTCGGGTAGAAAATACACACGCCTGTCTCAAACGCCTGCATTTTCCGAGGTGCGTGGCTGTTAGTCCGTGTTTGGAATAGGCTTCAGTCATACTAATCCCCTTCATAAACGTTGCTACTTATTGGGACGGACAGACGACTATTGGGCTCGTGATATCTCAACTGCAACTTCGGCAAGATTTTGCAGACCTCGTTACAAATGTGACAACACATCAAGAGCGTTAGGTGGACAGGCGTATGTTCTTCTTTCGGTTGCTCAAAAGCGGCAGAACCTCCTCGTTTTCGTCGGCACTCAAAACCCAAAGAATATCAACTGAATGTTCGTATATTAGGTAATAGGCAACACTGGAGCCGAATTGGACAAACGGGAAAACAAAACAGAGCTGTCGCACCGACACACCATCGGCACGCTCACACACACACAGCGCCGCGGCCGGCCCCTCAGGAATTGTCCCGCCTAGCTCACGGTCGCGATCAGTCTGCTCTGCTGACTCCGTCAGCGCTGCCACTGACAATACGAGCATGGAGCTGCAGCTTCGGACACATTTTCGGCTCCGGGAATGATAAAAAACAACGCATCAATTCCAAAAAGTTTCCAACGTAACAAATAACAGCGGAGCGAAAATGCTTCCTTGCGGTACACCATGCGTGCGGCGCGATATCGACCACGGATGTGTGGCGTGGGCCAAACACCGTGAGCACCGCGCACAGGGGTGGTAGTTAGAACAGGACTGGAGCGGGCACTGGCTCAGCGGACACTCAGAGGCTCGTCCGGATCAGCGGGGCGGCGCATTGCGCGGACACGGCGCAGACATTCACACACAAAGTTTGCGCTTGGTTTTCACAGACTGTCTGATGGCATTGTTGGGACCGCGGTGGGCCCTATTTCACAACCTTACGCTCTCTGCTAGCCCTGGCGCACTGAGGGTTATCATCACACGAGACTGTAGTCTGTACACTCCTAAACCACATCAGAACACAATGGCGTCACTCACATCCACTCCACGCACAATCTCGACTAGTTCCGGCCGTGACCAGCACCCATTCCACCCATTCCGGAGCCCATTCCGGCCACACGGCGCCAGCGCCATTTCATAGGTGGCCGGATGCCCACTCGTCGCAGCTTTCTGGCAGAATCTCAGCGCAGGGCACTCCCGCTTACACAGCGCAACCTCAAATATAATACACAGTGTACACGGGGTTAGGCTCACAACGGCCGACCGAGACTGGACAGAGTCGTCGTGTCGAGAAACACTTCAATCACACAATCTGGACAATCGCGCAAACAGTTGTATCATGCAGCGTGCCTTCTTATCGGTCACGGACAACTTACACACTGACTGAAGAATTTTGAACACAACACCGCCAGGATCATAGATCTCAGCGGGCTGAAGCATGTGCATGGACAAAACACTATACACTGGGACTCAGGCAAATTGACTGATCATGGGAGCTACAAGGGAATTAGACAATATAGTCGTCTGGAATGGATTGCGATGGTTGTTACGATGAACTAACCCAACGCTTAGAATATCGAGCTTAGAATGTCATCACTAGTCAAGATCAAGCATAGCATGTTTGCAAGCCTCCTGGTAAAACCAATAACCACGTATCGTCCATGATTTTAAGAAACGCCTGAGTAGCAGGCTACGATGTCTAGCAATTCAGCCTCCTGGGACGATGCCCGGCAGCATAAATCGTGAACAATAGAACATGCGACAAGGGCCAGACGCAGCATACAAAGTCACACAGACTGAGGCCAAACGGCTCCCGTTAGAGTGATACCGCGCTACGTTAGTCCGTTCAAAGGAGCGCCTGCCTGGCATCTTCGGCTCTCTCTCTCTCTCTCTCTCTCTCTCTCTCTCTCTCTCTCTCTCTCTCTCTCTCTCTCTCTCTCTCTAAAATTTGTAATCGATAAGATCACCCAGATAAGTCAACCGTCTCTACACCGCCCATACTTCTGAGGTGCCTCCTCTGACTCCCATCCTCCTACTGTCCCTAGGCTCCCCTCCGAAACAACTGACCACAGAGAACCCTGTATCACCTACCAGACCACACCAGACAGTCGTACGTTTGACTCTTCTGGAGTTGGCTGTGATCGCTCCCTATACATGTCCCTGTGGCCCACTGAAGTCTACTTACGGGCTAACGACATGATCACAAAGCTGGTGCGGGAGAGTTCCTAGTGCACCGATGACCAAGGATCTATGGGTTGGAAATCTGTCAGAATATTCCGAAGGCTAGTGGAAAGTATCAACAGGAGTGTGCCGGACAAGACGCGAAGAGCAGCCTGCTGTCATGACTCGAGAAGAGCTCCTGGACGCCTGGAGAGGTGTTCCTGGACTCCTGGACAGGTGTTCCTGGACGCCTGGAGATGAGCTTTTAGCCGTCTGGAGAGAGGTTAGAGGCTCAGGAGTTGATATGCCTGGAGAAGAGGAGAGTTGGGTGGGAGGAGTATTATGGCGAAGGAAAGGTTGCAGTGCATGTATCTCAAGCTAAAACACCTGCTGTCGGCTGAAACTGCCGCACCTCCGTACCATCCCGAGAGCAGATCAGACGGACCCACAGTCACTCGGTGGCAACATCTGAATGGTGAGAGCCTCCGGACTGTAAGGACTGCCGAGGTCTGGCTCTGAGGACGCAGTCGGGCGGGTTCGAAGTAGAGTTGCCCCATGATGTACTGGAGGAACCCAGGGGACAGTGACTGCAAGCGGCTGCCGGAGAAATAGTCAGGGTCCGGCGCGCCAACAGGGTACTGGCAACTTCGTCTGGCTCACCAGCTAGCTAGGGGCCTTGCTCAAACTGTTGCGCAGCTGTACCTAACCCTCGCCATCTTTAGCTACTGAGGAAACCCTCAAGGTCGAATGACCAACCACTAGGCTATGCTAGGACCGTGGTAAAAGCTACTGGAGAATGTTTACCAGGAAAAGTGAGTAGATGCCAGCCAAGTGGAATATAAATAGTTACAACAAAACGTAGTGGAATGCTCTGTGTGATCCCGGAAGAATGTTTTTAGATATTGCATTGTAAGCACATTGGGTACATATGCTTACAATGAGTGTACGTGAAAAAAAATGAACAGAAGGCCTGCCATTGAACAAACAACTTCGCAAACAATCGCCAATGCAGGCCAACCAATAAAATATCGCAGACACAAAACGAAACCATTGAGCAAACGTGAAAACGGAGCTGCGAGAACATCCGGAGCAGGATACTCGGGGAAACCCCCGCAGATGCTACCTGCGGCGCGGAGAGCCCCGGGAAGGTGTTCCCAGAAGAACACAGCTGAGCTCCGGCAGCGGATACCTCCACGCCGCCATGGCTGAATATTTTCCTAAGCCTCGGCCGTCTGCCGGGGCGACACCTATCGGCTGGCTGCATCACTCGATCTTCTTCATGTTGCCGGTGGAGGCGCTGCGCGCCGGCTTCTTGGTCAGGTAGGACTTGTTGAAGAAGTGGGCGAAGAGGACGAAGTAGCTGAAGTACATGATGAGCGAGAGTTTGATGTTGAGCACGGAGACCTCGCACTCGCCGCCGTTGGACTTGACGTGGTAGGCCCACAGGTTGACCAGACAGCCGACGATCATCTGCGCCAGCTGACTGCTGGTGATGGCCACCGAGATCCACCTGAGAAACAACGGCGGCGGAGTGACGTCAGATGTGGTCGGAATCGCGGTGAAGTACAGTCAGAGCTGGGGAATGGTGGGGAATACCGTCAGACCCGGCTTTTCGGGGGGATACCGTCAGATCTGGCCGAATTATCGGAGAAAACGTGAGCTCTAGGGGATCCTGGGGAAATTACCGTGCGATCTGGCGGAATGATATGAACATACCGTCAACATGACAAAATGAAAAACTTCACTTCTATTGGTCTTATAGCTGCCATCTTACGCTTGGTCATCAACGCTACCATTCTAGAACGTGACGTATAATCTAGATCAATGTCATTTAAAGGGACTACCCCACCTTTACATTAGGTTTGAGTTGAGATAGCCAATTTTGCGGCGAGGTCCAGAAACCACTATCTATCTTGGTTGCAACCCCCGCGGCCTCGTGGTGTTGAAGAAATTCGTTCCCTTCATTTGAAAATGGGCCCTGCGCAAGGCCCAATCTCTTAACCATTAACGGTAATCTGATGACGTCATTTGCCTTTTGAACGCCTGTTCAAGTGAAGTATCACTTGATTTACGAATAAGCCAATCAGAGACACTTTTGTTATTGTATGAGCCGAGTCATATTTGAGAGCAAATACCTATATTTGCTGCCAAATTTCCCCCACACCGACATGAAGTAAATCCTTCATTACGTCACAGATCCGATCTAAATGACGTCACGATGAAATATAAAAGTCGCAATATCTCAAAAAGTATACGATGAAAACGCGTAAAAACTTGCAGGATTCGTCACAATATCATGAGTAACATTTCCGAATCCTAAACGGGACTTTTTTAAAGGTGGGATAGTCCCTTTAACAGGCACATTGCATGCACGCATGCTAGACCGCCGACCAAAGAGCTGGCACGCCTGGGGTGGCCCCGGGCTCCAACAGCAAGGAGCTCCATCCCGTAATACCCTGGGGATTCAGTCGCGGCGGGCCCCCCATTAGCTCTGTTCATTATTGGTCTAATCTAATGATAGTTAATGGCAGAGGGATCCGGGCATACGGCTCTGTCGCCTCAGAAACCGGGCTAGCCTCTGCAGCTGGCGCGCCCTCAGAACAGCACATTGATCGTCACTGGATGCCGGCTCCCCCTTAGATGCGATGGGCACCTAAAGGATTTCACGTTGGCTTGAAATCAACCACATCATGTGCGATTCTAGTACTAATCCTGTCCTAGTTCTCATTATACAGCAATACTCATCAATGTGTCGGACCATATTTCACAGAACGTTTCCAATTATTCCGACTGAGAATCCTGATCCAGCGTCCTCGTTCTCTGTGCCCGACCAGGGAACGTGGTAGGCATCTGCGAGCCTTGGAGGCATAGAAGCGAGTCCCGCGAGCAGTTTGTCGCTGATTTACACACTTACCT